CCGCTCTGGTGATGACGGGCTGGCCTGGCTGGGTCGCCTTGCCCAGGGCCGCTGAGGAGATGGCTGCGATCCGGCTGAAGTGCTGGGAACGGAGCGTTTGGTTGCTGCCTTCCTCAGGAGCTAGCTCTGCAGCAGAGAGAGGAGTAACTGGTGCTGCCGCCTGCGTGCGGGCTGCAAATATTTGTTCAAGGTCAGTTCAAATTTGGGCAGTATTAATTTGTACTAAGGGACTATAGTCTATTTGTCCCCTGTTAACTCGGGAATTCTGTGTGAAACACTTGTCAAATACATGGAAAGAAACAAAGCAAGTGCTGGATATGTTTTACCTGGTTTTTTTCTTTCTTCCCCATAGAAAAGGTTTGTTAATTCCTCCCAAGGGATAATTGGCTATCTGCCAGTAAGCTTCCCCCAAATGTAGAGGATTGATTGTGAATTGTTTGAGCCATCAAGTAACCTCTGTAGTTGAAGGAGGGTATAAGATACCGTCGGATTTTGAAGTAAGAGTAGCTTTAGTGCTTAGTCTTGGTTCTCGAGTTCTGCTTCGTAAATCCCACCACAGTTCTCATTTAGGAAGAGTCTGGTCAGTTCATGGGTATAATGTTATTGAAAGTGGCTCATGCTTGTTGGAAGCAAAAAAAATAGAAAAAGTAGGGGTTTAGCTGTTCTAGTGGCAGAATCAAAGTAATCTAAGGGAGATCATGTGAGTTTTGGGCTGTGTTTGTGTGCTGTATATGTTGCAGCCTCCTGTCCTGAACTCCTTGTTCCAGTCTGACTCCTTACACAGCTTTAGCACCAGAGGAGGCTTCCTCCCACCCCTTGCCATTTTAAATAAACATTAAAAAATACTTGTATGTATAGCACTGCAGCTTGATCCTAACTTTGCATTTGTGGCTGTTAAAGTTACGTTCAGGATTTCCAGTCTTCAGCGATGTGCTCTCTTTCGTCGTGCAAGACATCGGAGACTTCTGTGCTGTGCTCTGACCTTTAGGAGGAGGGCACGTCTTCCTCCTTTAGCAGGAGGTGTAAAAATGAGAATTCATCTTACCACATCATGGCTCTAGTCTGTCAGTTGGGGAACTTTACAACCTCAACCTTAAAACTCTAGACTGGGCTTTGCTGAAGGGAGAGGCACACTGGGAGTCTCTTCTAGGTAGGCTAAACAAAATCTGATCTGAGCTTTAAGTATGTTTAATGTTGCCGTATAACAGAAGTGAAGTTGCGTGTTTGCTGATGTAAATACTTTGAAGAGCCCTAGTAGATAAGCGTAGAGTAGGTACTGCTTAAATGGCTTGTGCAGTGTCTTCAGGTTGCAAACACAGGTACAATACAGCACTTAAACTATACTGTAAGAATTAATTTCTAGCAGAAGACAGTGTGGAAGTTCAGATACGCTACCTGTGCTGAGCAACATGGGGATGTGTTAGTGAATAACCCTAGATTTTAAAAGAGTCATTAAATCATTTACAAGTATTTTAACTGTGCGTCTTTCTTCATGAGTAGGAGGGGAGTAAATTAAGAGGCGAAGGTAAGCAGAGCCACTTCTATACTCAGTGTAAAAGCAAGGGCAGTGATTACCTCGTGACATGTGCTGGACTGTACTTGTGTGCATTGCCAGGTAGATGCCCACTTTGTTGCTTAGTGAAATGTAATTACTCAAGTGCACACGTGTTTAAAAAAAACAAAACCAAACAAAAAACCAAAACCAACCTAAACACAAACCACCAAACCTAATACTAACACTAGCCCTGAAACAATGAGTAGTAACTGCGTAGAACTCCTTTGGGTTGCAGCATCTTAAAATGAGTATTTCCATTTAAAAAAATGCTAAATAATAATACATTTTTTTAATAGGAGTTGTTTGTGGTGTAGATGTGTGTTTGATTTACGACTAGGTGGAAGAAGTTAAATTCTTAATTTCAGTTAACTGTAGAATTTAAATATTTAGAGACAAGAAGTTAATTTATTGATGGTTGAGTTGAATAAACTTTCTTGAAACCTCTCTCGTTATCCTTAATAAAACTTCTGCCTTCTGATTGAGGTGCTGAACCCTGGAGTCTGATTTTTAGATGCTGAGATTTGAAAAGTTTGCTTAAGCAAGTAGCATTCTGTAAAACTTCTTCTCATATGCAAATGGATTTGTGTATGACTTCTGTTTTTACAGTGCTCTTGAGTTCAGTGCATTTCTTAGCAAGATTCAATAAATTTTTTGGTTTTATCCAAGTGTTTCAAGCATTGAGTGTCTTAAATCTGTTTTTTAGTGAAACTTGGGCTAAACTGTTACTACTGAGTGTTATAATTGATATCCAGCTTTTAACTAAAAATGCAGAAATGCTTTAACGCAGGGTCAGATTTGTCTTCACAGTGTAAATTGTCAGGGGGAATTTGCAGGCAAAACGCACAATAGTTTTGTGGGGTTTTTCCCCCCCATTATGCTTACTCAGAGTGCCAAAATATTCTTTAAAAGTTGAGTAGAAAGTGTTAACGTGTGGAACATGAGGTTTTTGTCACTCACTATTTTGATGGATAACAGTTTGTCGTTAGTGTTCTTGGAGTAGTCCTACTAGTCTTCTTAAACTGGATGTCAGTGGTTTTGGGGGGCTGGTTGTTTTTTTTAATTCCTGAAAGCAGTCTGAACCAAAGGAGAATAACAAAGATAAGCAATAAATCTAACTCTTATCAGCTGATTTGTCAGCAGTTTGTTAGCCTCGTATTACATCCCTGGAAAGTTTCCCCCAACTTCCTTCCTGGAAACTCTCTTCTCCTATACGTAACCGCAGAATTTTGAATGCTTTGCTATCTCGTGGTAAATGTGAATTCATGTTTTGGTGGGGTTTGGTTTTGTTTGTTGGTGGGGTGGGTTGAGTTGGTTTTTTTTAAGATGATATTGGCAAGATCCAGGCCGGCTTAACTGGCGTCTCAACCTAACCCCGCAGCGTTCCCCGAGATAGCCGCTCCGCTGCCTGGCCTGTGTGGGATGTAGCGTGCTGGTTTCCAGTGCGCGAAACACAGCTTGATTTTAATTGTCAGCGTTTGTGGGCAAAAGCAAAACTTAGCGTGTATTTAAAGAAAGAGCTTGAGAAGACAGAAAGGTTTTTCTTCTGCTGGCGATGTTGCTGAGCAGGATTTTTCCCAAAGCCGCGGGTGTTGGCTGGGTTTGGTTTGGGGGTGTCGGGCTCTGGCAGCAGCAGGGACGGGGGTTGCGGTGAGCGCCGCAGAGATGTGGGACAGGGACACGAGGATGGTGTGGTTGCGCCTTAGGCGGCGGTCTCCAGCCATCGGGCTGGTAGGGGTGCCTCTTGTTTACGAGGCCTTTTTGCTCGTGTTGCTGCGAGGTGTGTAGTGTTCAGGGGGAGGAAGGGGACAGACCTGTGGATGGAGGGGCAAAAAGCAAACTAAAAGATGCTGGGAGGAGACAGGATATACAGGTTACATCATCAAGAGAAAAAGAATCTGAGCTGGGGAGCGTACCCTGAGGAAATCTCGTGGTCGGATAAAGTTGCAGTGAGAGTAGGCTGAAGTTAGGGTGGGGTCGGACAGAAAGGAAGTTAGAGCAGAGGGGCATGAGATGGAGAGATGAAGGGCAGAGGCAAGGATGAACAAGTTTGGGGAAGCAGATTAGGATTTTTTTTGTCTTAAAAAAACCAAAGATCTAACTGTTTTCATAAAGTCACATAGAAAGTGGCAGTGTGAGCTTGCGTGCGCGGTTGTAAACATTGGTCTCCCCTGAAGCTCAGTCATTTGACTTCGCACGCTGGGTGTTATTCTGAGGTGAGCTTTGGCACACCCTGGTGTTGTACGGCAGTACCAAAACGAGCGTGGTTTCCAGAGGAGGCTCCCGAGTTCAAAAGTGACTGAGTTCCGGTTGTAATGCTGAGTGACTGTGCTGCCAGACTTCCTGAACACTGACCAAATACTTCTTGCTTCTTCTTTCAGACGGGGCTTGAATCCACCCCACAGAGTGAAGTCGATTTCAATGACTACTTTCACGCAACAGGAAATAGAATTTCTGCAGAAACATGGAAATGAAGTAAGTATTATTTGGAGACTATCAAGGAGGCTTGGCACTTCAATATTAAACTTCAAAACACTACTCAAGGAAAAACTTTTTTGGTAGTGAAAGGCAGACAGAAGTCTTTTGAAGCCAACATCGTTTGAAGTGGTGCTTCTACAGAGTTCGTTTTACTTAGGTAGCTGATAACTGTCATGTTGCGTGTTATTGCCTCAGCCAAACCATCTAGATCCACATGATCACATGGTATTTCTGAATTGGGTTTTCTTTTGCTTTTGCGTAAGCAAAATATGCCTCTGTAGGTTTTTTTTAATTTTCTTCAAACCCAGACCTTGAGACTGACTGCAGCAGTGTTCCCTGAAAGACCATACCGTGACAAATAAATCTGTTGCTTTTAGCTGTATTTCTTCAGAGGAGGTGTCAGAAAGTCTTCTGGTAGTTTCAGTAGTCTCTTTCTTTATTGAAAGCATATGGACATTGAAGGTTCTTGAAGAGAGGAGAGAAAGGGAGAATTTTTTTCCCTTAAGGATTGATATCTAATAATTGTCTGTATGTTCAGTGTGGCTTGGGGCAGCGTTGAAGACCAAGCTCTAGTGTACTGCCTTTTTGTTCTTTTTAATGGATGAAAAAATAATCTGAGGCGAATATTGGATCGGCTCTGTGGGGACACGTGGAGCATATAACTCTGGATGTGGCTATTCCCGTCTTCAGTTTGAGGATAAAGTTCATAGTTTAGTACCATGCTACAGCATTGAGGATTTTAGAGGCAGCTCTTGCTTCTCTTCTGAATTAGAAAGTGTTATATTTCCCTTCGATTGTATCTGTATTCTCTTTTAGCAGGAATATTGATTGTAGGCTGCAGAGTTATCAACACCTTCTTGTGAAGCTTTGTGGGGATAAATTCCATCATTGGCTCAAATGCTGATTCTTAACCTTCTTAAACTCGATCCATTCATAACTGTCAGGCTGAAGAATGAAAATAGAAGCAGCAATTTCCTTTTTCTGTCTTGGTAAATGTGTTATTCATTGAAACGACTGTTAGTAGATGATTCCTCTAGACAGAGCTGAAACATGGTCTAAACTCTTCCAGACAACATAAAATACTCTTAATGGCTTTGACTAGTTTGTTGGTGTTTTGTTTGGTTTTTTAACATGTTAAAACTGTATGACAGTGTGTGTGTATACGTATGTGTAGCATATTGCTGGCTTTTTGCATAGGAAGAATCTTTTGTGGGTTCAGATACAGTATGTTGGAGTTTCTTCCCATACGATTAGATTGTAAGCTTCAGCTTTGATTTGAACGTCACAAGTATAAAGGAAAATGTGTGTGTTTGTGTTTGTACTGCCTGCCCTGCCCCTCTCCTCTCATTTTTTTCTGATTTCAGTTTTTCACTGAATCTGCAATGGCTGGAGAATGCTCCAGATTAGTTTTTCACTCATCTGGAACCTTAAGTGATCCCTGCTCAGTCGATTAGTGTAGCTGTTCTTATTACAGACCTGACTGCTCTGCCAATCAGAATGACTTAGTCAATATATAATTGACTATTGACATAAAAAGAGTTCCCAGATCACTGCAGTGCTATGTACTGTTTCAAAAGCAGGGGTCTGTGTGTCTGTAGGACTTACTTCTCTAGTTAAAGCATTGCAATGGTTTAAGGGCGCTGCCTCGTAATGAAGATGTCCTCTTGAATTTGGTTTTGGGTTGTTGGAGAGCAGTGCATTGCCTTAACACTGATTAGATATTTGTAACTGCAGATAATAGATTGAACAGGTGCTTAAATACTGGACACTCTTAGAAGTTTAAAAAAAAATTAAATATGTTTTCACTTTGTCACGCTATGTCTTGCAGTAGTTAAATAAGCATTTTGCTTTTTCATGTTGGTACTGGATTTCGGAATACGCACCTGCAGATAAGATAAAAGTATTGGGCAGATGAAGTTCATCTGACCTCACAAAAAAACTTCTTTGCCTAGCTTGCTCTCAGCATAGCTAGCTCTTCTGTATATATTAAGAAATTGGATTTTCTAGGAAGCAAAGTACAGTCGCTGAATGGTTTTGATGTAACATTCAGTTGTTTTAGTTCTGCAGCTGTTTATATACATACATACACACTTACATATAAATAAATAAAAGCAGCTCAGTGTTTTGCAGTTTAGCATATTTAACTTCCATTTTTCTGTCACTTGTAAAATTCATTCCCGCTTTGTCCTCCAAGTCTTTCTCCAATGTGGCCAAGACCTCTGTGGTAAGCGTTCTTGTTTCCAGATGAATAGATTGTGGTGCACAATAGGGAACTTGTTCTGAATAGAAAGGAAAATAGCAAGAAATCTTCCCAGAGATAAGGTAGTTATTAAGGTGGCCAGTTGTTCTTAGAGAAAGTAGTTTTCCACTCTCCTTCAAAGTGTGTTTATGAGGTCAATGTGTTTCATGAGTTTGAAGTTTTCTTTAAAAAAACAAAAATAAGTCCTAGTATCTGAAGTAGTAACTTTTCCCCAGTTGTCACGAATTGCCATCTTTGTGGACATTTGGTTACTAAAAGGCTTCTGCTGAGCGACTGCTTTGGGAGGAGATTATTCAGAGCAGCTTCTCTCCAGGTGTGAGACACCCTTGTCTTCCGTGTACATACACCTCCAAGTAACGTCTGGCTGCCTCTTTCAATGAGATTTTACTGCTTCAAATACAGATTTAAATCTTTTTTCCATATTGGAAGACATCTGTGTTGTGGTGTCGATTACTCACCTGCAGGTGTGAACAGATGTCCAGAGTCTGGTTTTGCCCGTGTCGGGGTTAGCTGCCTTTGCAGGAAGAACGGAGACATGTTCTCACTGATGCTCCACAAGTGCCTTCTGAAGCCGTTTTGAAGGGTAACAGCAATTCTGACTCACCGGGTAGGATTTTTTTTCCCCTCCTCTTCACAGAGAGCAGTGTTGAGGTATTTTCACACTGTATTTCCATCTTAGGAATAATGAGGAGAGTGGTGTGGAGATGCTTGTGTCTGCATACTCATAATCCAATGATGCTAATGCTGATGAGGGGCTGATTCAGGAGTGCAACGGTAGTAGAAAGTGAACTCACTGTTTGCAGAAAGCGGAGGTGGTGCTAATCTCATGTTGCCATTAAAGCTGAGAATATTTATGCAGAAGCTTTCCCCTGAAGATGAAAATTAGTATTACGAGGCAAACCAGTTCCATTCCATAGTTAATTTTTTTTATTACACTTTTGCAAAGTACCAGATATTTTATAACCTTTCCGAATAGCCTATTCTAAGATGTGTATGGAGGGAGAAAATTATTTGGATGTTCTCGTATTTGGAAAATGTGTTTGTGTGGGGGCAAGGGCTGTGTTTACCTGAGGTAACGAGTAGAACGCTGTGTGGGTACGCTCAACTCTTGGGGTTAGTTTAACAGCACTTAATTTTGTCTTGGTGTCAGTCTTCCTGCTCTTGCTTGCCCCTGTGCAAGTACCATTTTCCGTGCTCTTGCCTTCGTAGGAGCGGTGTGGGGCTGGTTCAGGGCTGGTGTTTGGCCGGACCAAAGCACTCTCCTAGAATCTCCTTTGCTATGTGGAATGTGGCCCAGGAACCCTGGAGTGGAAAGAGCAGGACTAAGCTGGAGCTGATGAGTGCTGACAGCGCGAGCAGGGCAGTCAGGTGTCCTTGTAGCACAGCCCTGGTCGTGCTAATGCGATCGAGAGGTACCTGTGTGGAGCCGTGGCTTTGCTGGCAGGATTTGCTAGCTCAGGCCCTGTGCTTATGAAAGCAACTAGAGCTTCTGGGCTCAAACCGGCTTTGAAATCACTGTACTGCCAGGGTAAAATTCTTTAAACCTACAGAGGTTAATGAACAATATTGACTGCAGAAGTGCTGAGTGACTGAACAAAGCTATAACGTGCTTACATAAGGGAACGGTTTCCAAATCTTTCTTCCTGTGGTGAGTGTTATGTTTTGGAACATACTTTTGTTGTGTGGTAATCTGCAGTTCTTTGCACTGTCAGCATTGAATTTGGTGCATAACTGAGGATATTTTATTGGGGGGGAGGAAGGGGAAGAGAAGGAATCTAACTTGGCATTTACCAGACTCTTGAAAGGTAATACTTCATTAGAGCTTTTTAAACGAGCCTGACGTATGTAATCTTCCTATGCAGTGCTGTGTCTGTGTCTAAACAAGAAGTGCTGGGGGTCTAGTGCTGTGGTTTTTTCCTAGAAATGCAGCTTCTACCAGCAGAAGTGCTTGTCCTATTACAGCTTTCCCTTGTCGTGCTGCCTGTGCGTGAGGGAAGGAGGTTTTGGGAGCAAAAACTTATTTTTGCTGGCCTAACTGGTTTTTTGTTGTTGTTGGGGGTTTTTTTTAAATTTTTCCTAACTGGCACAACTATGCTAACAGGGGTTTCTGGAGTGTGATGGCTCAGTGTGTTGTGTAAGCAGAAGGCCTTTGTCTCTCCCATATCCGCCTTCCCACACACTGGAGATCTGTATCAGTGAAATAGTTATAACGTGGTCAAGTGCTGTTTGGTAGTTGAAATATGTAGCACTGGAGTAGAAATAACTGAAACCTCAGGTTGGCTTGGGCTTTCTGCTGACTTTTCGTTATTAGAAGTGGGGTTTTTTTATGTGCCTGTCCTACCCCACCTTCCAAACTCTGTGAAAACACACAGAGAAAACACCTAAATACGATGACAAACGTTGGAGCAAAACCAAAAGCCCAACATCTGTGGAAAACAGGTACAGCTATATTCTTAGCCTTTGAGCTCGGCCTCGAACTCCTGAGAGCGTGAAGTGTTACTAGGAGGCTGGGTTTTAAACCAGAAGCCTTTCTGGCCAACTTTGTTTTTTTGCAGAGTAACAGATGTGCAATGGGTGGGATGAAGTTCTTTATTCCTTTCTGAATTCCTAAGCTGAAAACAAGGGTCACTACCCAAACTGTAGGACTACAAACGTAAACTGCGTATAGAAAACAGGATAATGTAGTTATTGCAGCAAAAATGGTTTCTCCCTCAAATAGAATAGCTGTTGAGTGCAG